ACTACAAGCTAAAATCATAGTTTCTAGCTCTTCTCTTATTATCCAGTTGTCACAGCCCAACACGTTCAGATGGCTTTTAAATTTAGTCTTTCAAGTCCTACTACCTCCAAGGCAGCTGGGATTTCACTCTCATTCTTTGGTTGTGTGCCAGAGATTGTCCTTTCTGCTTAGCCTATGAGTCCCCAGACCGCAGAAGTTTCCCAAAGTCCTTGACCGAATGGCCCGTGGGAGGTCTCGCGTTCTGACAGCCTGTGCGGTGAACAAAACATGTCACCTTCCTGCAAAAAGGTTCAGCCTCGGTTTTCTTCCCACTTCTTATGGTAGAATCCACTATTTCTTTTTCACAATTGAACGTTTTACTTGACTAATTTGATGGTGTCTTGCGGTATATCACCTATACAGAGATTAGCAAGTGGAGGAAGGTAAGAGCATAAGACAAATGAACTGAGCATGAAGTTTTTTCTGCTTTAGCCTGCACTTCTCTCTCCCTGCCAAACTACTTGCACAGGGTACAATTGAAGCAGAGGGGACAATCCAGGGCAAAGAAGGTTGTGTGGTTGAGAATCCAATTATTAAAAAGTAACTGTACAGTGACAGAGCAAATTATTTCATTGTTGCAGACATTAGGCAGACTGCAGTGATTTTTACTCTTACTGCAAATGACCTGTAAAGCAACCATACAGGTCATATTTTGTCAAATCTTTCTTCAAAGTCCAATAACCAAGTAAGATGCAAAGATGTCCACTCTTCAATTATAATTTGCTGTTTTCATGAAAGCCAAAGCCTTTACACTGCTTGTACTGCACAATGCCATTAGTATCCTACTGAGCAGTATAGTTACTGCTGCTGCTGCAAGATTCCATACATTTATGCTAACAGCAGTCTGCCCACTGCTAGCAAAAGGCAAATACAGCAGTCTTTCTTACTTTAACAGCCACTTGAAAGAGTATTCTAACACGGTTAGACAGACACACAAATAAGTGACCAAAAGCCTTGTTTTCAATCCTGTTCTCTTTGAAGTTAAGCTTTGTTTCTGGCCTTAATAAGAACAGACTCAATCTCGATCCAGCTCCTACAGGAGGAAGGTCAGTTTGCAAATCAGGGGTAATGACTTACACCCAGGTGGTATGCAGTCATTCCTCCTCAGCTGTTGCAAACTGCAGTGTTCCCCGCTCCCCTCGTGAGCAGAGTCAGTGCTGATAAATGGCTTCAAAGAGCACTTCTTATATAGCAGCTGGTGGGCACAGACAGCAGTGACTGCTAAGCTCAAGAGCAAGCAGTTTGAGGAGGTGAGGCATGGCAGCAGCAGGACCTTCTATTTCTGTCTCAGCATGTTTCCCTTTTTTGGTTGCAATATTGATAACTAGTTTCATTTTGCAAAGAGATTCCTCTCTGTCATCTTATGAGCAGATGATATTCTCATTGCCCGCAGGGGACAAAGCTGCAGGAAAAGAAATTAATGCTTTGCATAGTGCAAGCCCTCTGCCATTTAACTTTTAGAGCACTCATGACTTGGGAAGTTTCCGTATTATCTCAAAGCCAAGTTCAAAATGTAGTAGAAAGAAATAGGCTCTTCTTCAGGAAAACAGTAACACTAAACCTGCAAAGGTGGGAAGGTATGTTAGCTAGCAATTCTATCACAGATGAGGTTTACTGAAAATACGATGAAGTCTTAGGTTTTTTTGTGATGCTGAGTGGTCTGCACGATGTTTTAAATTACCTTGGTAAAGGGCCAGGAGGGATCAGAAAGGAGGCTGGAGAAGACAGTAACAGATTAAATTATGCAAGTAGTCCAGTGAAATGGGGAGAGTGGTACACACAGTTAGAGATGGGATCTACTCAGGAAAGATTCTAGGAAACAGATTTATGTATAGTATGTCTCCTATCTTTCTTCTCGTTAAAAGAAAGTTTGTTTCCCCTCTCCACCTTACTTCTTTCTGCATGCGTCTGCAAGGTTAAAAATAGAATAAATAGGCTTGGGTAGGGTTACAGTTATACTTTCATTTAATCTAATCAAGAGGTGAAGATGAAACAGTAAAAGCTTCCGCGCGGGCTAGCAACACACACGTATAATGGCACTGCAGCTTCAGGTTGCAATTGCAGTTGGCTGCAATGACTCTATACAGTAATGAATATTGTACTTGGCAACTCGGCTGAGGCATTTTAATGCTTTGGGAGTAAGGGGTTTTCTTGCGGAATTCTAGCAACAGAGTTGATTTGATTTTCTGTTATCTTATGGTATGAGCGCAGCATGATATTAAAGGATAGTTTTGTTCAAGCCTTTGATCATTTAAATGGAACTTCAACTGAGCGGTGACGAGCGTTTTAAAAATACAGGAAAATTGAAGATATAAACAGCAGAGTGGAACACTTCAGAGAATCTGCAGACCTGAGTAAAGACAGTAGTATTTATTATGGTGGTGTTAGTTCTGTATAAACAACAGTAGCCTAAGCATTTCTGGAAGCATTTTAAATAATTTGAACTGGTAACTGGGTAACGTGTCTTTATCTGAGGTACAGTAGTAAAATTTGAAGGACTTTATTAAATATGCCACTAGCTTACAGAGGCATAAGAAACTCAGTACAGCTGTACTAGATCAGACCAAAGCTCCAGCCAGATCAGTGCCGTCTCCCTGCTAAAGGTCACTTGGGGTTTGCCTAAGGAAAGGGCACAAAGAGCAGGGCAAACACAGAGTAAGAGACAGGCTCCCCTGGCTGCATGCTCTGAGCTGCTGGCAGTTACAGCTTCAGGAGTTCAACAACTGTGGTGCACCTTCATCCCATGCAGCATTACATTGTGCATACAAAATATCTTTCTATTAATGGTTTTAATTTTTATTTTTTTTTGCAATCCAGTTTTGCACTGAAAAAAAGTAAAAAAACCCTCTCACTTGTGGCTTAGACACTCTCAGTAAGTAGGTGTGCTTACTTTCATGTGCTTACTTTACCTTGCTATTCTCAGCTAGCAAATTCAACGTCTAGGCATATTAAAAGGTTACACATCAAAAACTTCTGCTGTCGACAAGCCTGAGAGAATGGCAGGGAAAGTACCAAACTGCTAGTGCTCCAACTTCTCTTTAATGTCTTTTCTTAAGTACACTTCATGCATTTGACTTTCACAAATTATTGTGAGACAAGACTGTTCATGAGAGTTTGTTTCAGATGCTGCGTGTGTGAGTTTGAATGCCAGTAGTTCTTGAAAACTAACAGTCTTTTCATAGGCTCTGCATCTCCTGGAAGCTGTTCCCATTTATTCTGGTTGCTGACAGGGATTACTAAACCTCAGAGACCCACTACATAATGCATTATAATACATTATGCTAACAAAGGCTATTGTCGTGTGTATAGTAATCTGCAGGGTGCT